CTTCATGCCTGAGAAGGTGTCCTACCAACCTATCTCGCCTATTTTTTATTGACTTCCATAGAGTCCTCTGTTCTCCTATTTTTTCCAATACCTCTTCATTTCTAACCTTTTCTACCCATGATATCCTCATCATTCGCCTGCAACACCACATTTCGAACGCTTCTAACCTTTTCTTTTCCGCCGCGCCCACTGTCCATGTTTTGCACCCGTACAATGCCGTGCTCCAAACATATACCTTCAATAACCTTTTCCGAGTTTCTAAATTAACCGTTCGCGAGCATAGAAGTGACTTCTTCTCTTTTGCATACGGTAAATTTAACCATATGTTTCCATTTAATCGTGTGGTAATGAAAAACTTTCGTAAATCTGTCGATCATTTCGCATATTATGTGAAATAAAAGATTAAAATGCCAGTTAAACGCGGTAGAAGCAAATTTTTTATGGGATGCCGGAATTGGGGATCGTTTATAGTACTGGCTGCAATGTGTCCTAAAAGCTGAAACGACGATGATGGCTTGATGTTGACATCATTTAGACAGGAAGCATGAAAAATTAAGTTAATGTATGATTTATTTTCACTCGAGGATCGAATTTAACCGCAGGAAGTGACGCAGCGCTCACTACCGCGGCTTCGCTTTATTTTACAGCCTGTTATGTGTGTGATGTGAATTTTAATGTGTTTAATGAAAGCCGTTGGTGAAAAAAGAGAATGTAAAACAAACATTTACGGGGTACTAAACCTGGAATTTGAGTACCTTTTTTATTGCTTTAAAATTTAATAAAACGCTCATGTTTCGCTCACCACTTAATCGGAAAATAAAACAGAATTTGCAAAACGATTGTTTTTTTATTTTGATTCAAAAATTACGAGGAATTTTTTTACCATTTTATGGTTTGAATTCCGTAAACTTCGGATAGCTCTGGATTCAACTGATTTAAGTCAAAAAGTGAACAGTTTTTTTTGATATACCAGTGCTGCTAATTCACCTTATAAGTGGGAGAAATTTCATATCCATGTAAATATACACGTACTTATTTTTCGTAACTACTTTATCCTGAGGAATCCCAGCACGAAGCCTTATGCATTAGCCTTCTCAAAATCAAATTTTTAAAGTTATTGATTCTTCTTCTTACTTTTATCTTACGTTCATTGTAAACTAGGACCATTATCAGTAATTTTTTTACTATTTTATGGTTTGAATTCCGTAAACTTTGGATACCTCTGGATTCAACTGATTTAAGTCAAAAAGTGAACAGTTTTTTTTGATAAACCACTGCTACTAATGAATTGTATAAGTGGGAAAATTTTCAAGAAATTCGTGACCAACTTGAGCGAAAGGATAATGCAAATTACTTGTATCAAGATAGCATTTCATTGCCCATATCTAAACGGTCATTAATAATATAATAAAACGTAACCATTTGCGACACGAATTCGATCATCCGTTTGCTAAATTAATATAAAAAAGCACCTGCTTCTTAAAGTAATTATTTGGCATAACACCTTTAAACTTCCATACCTCTTTCTTTACAACTTTCGTTGTGTTCCACACGGATGGGTTCTCGGTTCTGTAAGATTTATTGTCTGCAATTATTACGAAAATTCAGATTACCTACCTCGATTTTAAAGTGAGAGATTAATGAACATTAAACGCTCCAGCACCTGCTGCTACTGCTGCCGTTCGGCCAACAAAAACAACGAGAATATTCGTCGATAGCAGCGATAGAAGAACGCATTAACACTAATCCACACCTGCTCGCGCAAAATCAGCTGCTAATTTTGCAAGCATGCCATTAATGTTAATTGCGCTCTTAATTAAACTTGAAGATCTTTTACAGCGGACAAGGGTTAAACATCTAGAATACCAACCAACAATTACTGCATTTTCCTTTATGGGTTACAAGGTATAACCCGCGGCTTCGCTCGAGTTGATGTTCAAAATAAGTGTCAAAGATTATCGACATCATCATCATCATCATAAGGTCATCAGTCCTAAGACTGGTTGGACACGTACCTCCGCTCTTTCCTATCCTGAGCTAAACTTCTCATTTCCCTAAAACTAGAACAGCCCACATCCTTAACTNGCTCTTTTGACTCCCGAGTGCTCCTCAAGGTTAACCAAGTAGCTCCTCATTGATCCTGCGAGTGCGAGTGAGATGATTCTTTCCTTTTCTTATCCCTTCCATTTCATAGTGAGTCCCCTCTTCCACAGCCAAACCCAATAGTTTTGCGAACGAAAATTTTCGTAGGTATTATTTAAGTTGCGATTACCGCTTACTCTCTCGTACTCATTGAAGGGTATGGAGTGACTCAAACTAACCTCATGTAGCGGCTCCGGCTCTGCTCTACCCAATACCGCTTGGTGATTAAAAAACAAAAGACATCACAATATATCTAGATTTATCTATATTGCAATGTTGGTAAAACCCTCTAGAGTGAGGACGGTGCTCTTAAACGTTGTGGCATCGGCACCCTTCAGAAATTGGAGAGTGGCGTTTCTTGTTCGTTACTGTTCATACTTTGATTGTGAGCACACAACAAAAACAATCTGTCCACATGAGGCATCTATCAAATGGCAACCACATCGTTACAAGTACAACAACATTATCACGTCACTGCGTCGACTAATAAGCCAAATACTCGACAGTGGCGATAGTTGTCGATGCGCCACCGGCGGCGGTATCATCGTCGTCATTGTGCGGTTAACAATTTGTATCGCATGATGTATGGACGTCGCGATGTCGGCGTCGGCGGCCGCCGCTGTATGTGCTCTGGTCTAATTATAACTAATGCACTTGATTTCCAATTGCAATGTGCACATTAATAAGCGCCAATTAACAAGCTATCGCGTCCAATGCCTACGTTCGTGTGTATGTGTATTTATCGATGTTACCACCTCTCCCCCCGCCCCCATTCACTGACCATCAACGTGTGTGCGTCCGTCCATCCGTTAGTTGTGTTGTCGTCGGCCGCAACCCCGGTACAACCGCATCTCGCCATCGTGATTTTAATAGGCCGATATCGAGCAGCGTTGCGGTCGTGACGTCACTGCTGCGGCGCGGTCTACCGCGACCCGGCCGCAAACATGTTGACCCGTTTCGCGCTCATGTTCACGCACCCTTTCTGGACTGTCGTCCTATATATAAACGATGGGGATGATATAATGTCAGATGGATTGAAGAAGATTATGCGCGTCCCTCTCGGTACCTTCGATGGTACTTGATTTTAATTTTCTAATGCATCTAAATTGGTAATTTCTATAAATTATTTATTTTCAATACAAACCTAATTGTATTATGACTATCAAACAAAATTGGTGGAGGAGCCGGACGTTAAATGTATTGAATAGCATTATGAATGCTAAATAAGGTAGAAATGGAAATCTTATCGGTTGATTGAGGAAGTCGCTGATTTTCGGTTTCTAGGAAGTAAAAGAGTTTACGATGGAACGAGCTGTAAAGATATAAAACAAAGGATAGGGCAAGGTGTAACAGGAGAATGATAAGGATATCGTGGATAGAGAAGGTTAGAAAATAGGAAGTATCAGAAATATTAGGAGAGCAAGTGGTGCCAATAAGAAGTAGGCACTTTCTCGAGCATGGAGAGTTAGTTAGACATATTATAAGCAGAAACAGGAGCTAAGAGGAGTAGAGGTAGACCTAGATTAGATCGTTCATAAATAGTTAAGGATATGGGATGTTTTAGTTTTAGGGAAATGCGAAGTTGAGCTCAGGATAGGAAAGAGTGGAGGTGCGTGTCAAACCAATCTTAGGATTTACGACCTTATGATGATGTTGATGATTGTTTATTTTAATGAAAGAAATTATGTTCTTGAAACTGGTTTTGGATAAAGTACGAAACTCTTTAATTTAGAAAATTTAATGGATATTTCCAGTAAGTACTAAGTAGATAGTCCAGTCACTTCCAGAGAAATTTCCAATTCTTTCTTTAGATATAGATGCTTATTTCAAGGAAAATTAGTCTCTGATTCTTACAAATAATTGAATCAGTATTAAAATTTTATCAGTGCTTTCCCTTTGCCTGCGTTTCTTCGCATTCTTGTTTATTGAAAATGTTGACCCGGATTACGCTTTAATTGGCGCGAACTGTACTGCCTCTTCACGAATGTAAATTCTTTGTTTCAGACTGAGATAGCGAAGAGACTGAATGCCATAATAGCACAGATCCTGCCTTTTCTGTCGCAGGAGCACCAGCAGCAGGTAGCGACAGCCGTTGAGCGTGCGAAACAAGTCACCATGACAGAGCTGAACGCCATAATCGGGGTGAGTTTACTTTATTATCATTGTTTCGTGTGCCTGACTGCTACCGACCTATACCTTCATGCACGGGATACCTTTTACGTACAGAATTATTTGCATTCACATACGTACACAATGCGCCGTAAAACAGAATTTTCCCGCGTTACGTGACAGCGTTCGTCCGTTACACGTGACGACGTTAAATCTACTTCAACAATGCGGTCGCGGTGCACCGACACCGTTGTAAATAGCAATTGACATCCAAGACGACGAAACGAAACATAAAAGACCATCGTGGATTTAGGTCCTAACAAGTTATCAAACAAATCCAAAACAAAAATTGAAACTAAACGATGGCGTAAGTACATAAAATCGGGAGTACCACAAGGTATAAGTGTTGGACCTCTACTTTTTTCATGTAGGCTAAGATGGCACGTAAAGTGCATGACTGTTGGAACATGCAATCGGGAGTACCACAAGGTATAATTTTAGGATCTCTACTATTTTCATATAGACTAAGATGGATGGCATATAAAGTACATGACTGATGTACCATGAAACCGAAAGTAACTAGTTGAGCTTCGTTTTGTTTCGGGTTTTAGAATGAAATGCCGTTGTTGGACGTGATAAATATAAATTGTTAATAACCTCTTTTACGCCACAATGGAAAATATGTAATGTCAGGAAATTAAGCAATCTCTTCCAATCAATAGCTAGCGCGTTTGGTCCTAGTTTGTAATCATCACTGAACGAATAGGCATTTATAGAGATGGGCATGTAACGGGGTAGTTTTTAAATAATTTACAAAAACATTGACCAAAGACGTTTCTCCTTTAATCAAAACTAAAAATATACGTTTCTGTATTTGGACTAAGGAATTTGATTTACATAGTTTGAAAAAATGTATCGGATCATTAAATAAATGCGAAGATGTAATAGCATTGAAGGCTATTAAGGAATAACTGAAATAGGGATAGGTACGATCAGGCAAATTATAATCCTTGAAGGACCTTTATTGTCATCATTATCTGCAAGATCTTCTTCTTACGTTTTTCACTCCCTTGTTAACTTGAAATCCTTTCCCATGCCTACCGTTTTCTATCCATGGTGTTTTCATTAGCTTCCTCAGGTTTTTAATCTGTCAGGTTGGTAAAATAGAGTAAAAACCCTAGAAATTATCAAAAAGTTCTATTTTCGTTTGCTGTATTGATCAGGGAGGCAAAAGATTGACGTAATGCTTTTCGGTCTGCGTACATCTCTAGCGCGTTTTGTTTTGTATGCAAGGATCGCGGATGCTTTCCGCGTCCTCGGCGACGGCGGCAGCGACGGGCGTCGGGGTGCAAAAAGCCGCCGCCTGCCGCTTTTACAGTTGTTGGCTGCATTATGAGAGTTGCAAAACCAGTTGCCAGATGATGCTGTTATAAAAAATCCCCGGCGCGATACTGAGCGGTCCAGCGTCGAGGGAACGGGACGAGGGGGTGCAGAGTACACGATGACGGCGGCGGAGCGACGAAAGGGGTGGCGTACGCGCAGGAGGACATAATAATCCAATTAGTATTCAATGCGAGTGACACGCCGCTGCGACTATGGCGAACTTTTTAAATTAAAAAGCGCCGAGCACAGCGGTACTAACTCGATTCGCTTTGCACATAAAAAAAATCGCTCTATTTTCGTACGGGTGAGCGCATATCAGTCTCGTTATTCTCTCTCTCTCTCATACTCACCCGCCCGCTCTCTGTTGGGGTTGAAATTGAGACTTTTTAATTTGAAGACGCCGCCGTGCAGTACAGTTGAACTGCGACCGTGATTTTCGCTCGGTGCCGATTTTTCAAAAGGTACAAAAGGGCCGAAAGGGCACAGGAATCGAAGAATTTAATTTCGATTATTAAACCGTGGCAGGGAGGGACTTTACCAAATGGAAATGAGTTCTAATACGACAAAATTGAGAAGGATATTGTATAACCGAATTTTATATATTTATTTAGAAAAATAATTACTTTAATCTATATTAAAAGCGAATTTACAACATTTACTTCGATTGTGTCGTCCTTTCCTACCTTACCCTTATAATCCTAAGCGTTTCCATTAAAAAAGAAAATTGGAAACTCTGTGAAACTTTGTATATACTTGTATCCTTTTCTTGTATCCTGTCTGGCATATTTTGTGGCTTTCAAATTTATCTTGGACAGTTTATAGGTGCTGTAACATTATCCGTTTTACAAATTTTATTGGGCACATCAATTCGTCGAACTGCTCGGTCAGCTTTCAAATATCAATAAAACACATGTAGCAGGGTACTTTTAGCCCCCAATGTACTCATTCAACTTTACGCTGTTGCACTTAAAGTTATGGTCCTGGCGGTCTCTGCTCTTTTTATTCCGTGTTATATAGGATCGCGCCACGCTCTGTTCCGAATAAGATCCCGCGGGACCCGGTCTCGATTCTGACATTTTTATCAGTCCAAACGACCAAGCAAATTTTGTGCGATTTTACTTTGCAAACACGACTTTTCGCCTTATCGAATATTCACCCAAAACACACTGTGGTTCAACAACTGAAACATGCCAATAGGACTGGCCTAGGAATAAAATACAGTGGATTTCGAATATAACGATGACGAAGGGATCGCTGTAATTTCGAGGTTATATCCGGAAGTCGTTACAGGCAAAGGTAAAGAGATACAGACACGTAAGAATAGTTTTTACTATTTTTCAATTTTGAAACGATTTCCGCCTTTTTTTAACAGTAAATGTCCATCTAGGAGTCATACTTATTCAAAAGTTTACTAGACGGATTTATTACTAATGAGTCATTAAAAACAGTTGCTACACTCGAACTCGGCGTTACATCCGAAGTCGCTGTAGCCACATGAATTTTGTACTAAAGTATGCTTAAAATTCAAGGGACTGAGATTTAACGTAGCTGTAGCAAATAGGTGGCTATAACCATCAAGGTACAGGTCTAACGAAGGAAGCTGGCGAGCGATCGCGCAGGTACTTGCCCATTTATGACCTATTTGGGTAAGTCACTTGGAACCGATACACAAATAAGCTTTCAGTAGGCGTAAATTATAGTATTAATACAGATAGAACAGATAAACCACTGCTACAAATGAATTGTATAGGGTTGTTTGGAAAATCATTTCGTTTCACTGTAAGTACAGGCCTGACGCTGGAAGCTGGCGGAGATTTTAAAATGGCGTAGATGCGCGGTGGCAAAAGTAGGCAGTTTTAGGTATAAAGATTGCAGCCCTCATTCTTCAGTATTCCTATCAGGGGCGTAGATTAAATATTAACTAACTATAAAACAAAAGCAATAGGTTAATTTTTTCTTTTTGATAAGTCATGTTTTTACATTATTTTCTAGTACGCTACTGTCCTATCTGTATTAATACTATAATTTACGCCTACTGAAAGCTTATTTGTGTATCGGTTCCAAGTGACTTACCCAAATAAGTCATAAATGGGCAAGTACCTGCGCGACCGCTCGCCAGCTTCCTTCGTCAGACCTGTACATCATTAAAGCTGATCATATTTTGACGTTGTAAGACTGGCAGGAGTTATCAGAAATGAGGCAATATTGGAAATTGAAAATCGTTGAAAAACCTCTATATAGAAAGGATAAAATTTTAATTTCGTTTTTCCCCTAAAAGCGATGAAATATTAGCGTCTTAAGTCCAGAATGGCAAAGTTTTCATTTCATTGTATGCTCAAAATGATAACTCCTTTTAAGTCTTAACCAAGAGTAAACAGTTACGCCTTTTTTAATAATAAAGAGCAAGAAATTTTTGATGTTCTGCTTAGCACTGTGCGACGGGGATCGGTGGCATTATTTGAAATATTCTTCGCTGCCACCACGACGGACGTGGAATAAGGCGGAAGAAGAAGAAGCAGTTTGTAAATTGATTCCTGCTGACGATTACGTACCGTCGAAGGGGATGAAAGGAGAGCGCGAGAGACGGGGAGCGGTAGAATGGGATGGAACAGACGGTGTGGGGAGTGTGAGACGACCCTTTCCTTCCCATTAGAATTCCGCAGCTTGCGATTTCGCCTCCGTAATTACATTTTTCATTCTCCGGAGGGTTGTTAAATTAAAACTTGGCGGTAATAGAAACCTCTCCGTTTGAACCGAGAGCGTTAATAATAGGCGCAATTTGCCGAAGCCGGTTTCTTATTTACCAACCGTTTTAATGGCTGCGGAAGTTTAATGTTTCAATTATGAATGTAAAATCAACTAACCTTCCGGTACGCGTCGTCATCGTTGCCATAGTCTCAACCCATTTATGACCTATTTGGGTAAGTCACTTGGAACCGATACACAAATAAGCTTTCAGTAGGCGTAAATTATAGTATTAATACAGATAGGACAGTAGCGTACTAGAAAATAATGTAAGAACATGACTTATCAAAAAGAAAACTATTACCTTTGTTTTATAGTTAGTTTTCACATTCACT